TGAATCCCATGATTCTCTTTCCATCCTAGTTCTTTTGTCTTCATGTACATCAAATCATAACGGCCTGTTCTTTGAAATTCCATAATCTCATTACATATCTTCTCAAGATATTCCTTTTTGGCCCTGTCCGTGGCTCTTTTCAATTCATTCCTCAGTCTCCTGTATTTCCTCCTGCCTTCTTCATTGTTGACATTCTTCCATTTCCTTCGCTCCTCCATTTTACTCATCATCTCCTGTGTAACCCATGGTTTTCATATACATACTTGTAAAACCATGTAATAACATATAAAAGTAAATATTACGTGCACACTGACTGCTGACTTGTTACTGCTGACTGTGACTCTAGTGACTGACAGACCCATCCTCTCCTCAGAGAGGGCGCCTCACATGCACAAAACCGTAACTGTCTAAGAGTAACTAATATCTGGTCATGAGCCAACGAATGGGGCTCGACACCAAGACAGACTGACTGAATGACCGTCGGTAGCAATTTGACTTTGATTTTCATCTTACATGCATTTCAGCGCTAAATTTGAAGGCACCATGCTTTTTCCGAAATTTCGGGATCCATCTAAGTTGCTTCAAAGTGTCATAGCCCAGATAATGTTAATGTGAATTTGAGAGTACTGACGTTGTTCCCACCGCGTGGTTTTTATTATTATCCTCTTTGTCGTATTAGTCAGAGTCATGACAGAAGCTCATGCAGATATGCATAGCGACACCTGGTATCTTCAGCACAGGTGACTGTGAGCCTTCGGAGCTTTACAGTCCAGTCAGGAAGATAAAATTCCTATTATGAAGTGGACATTCTGGTGCTTATGTATTTTCCGATGATTACAAGCGTCTAATTATGTTGTAGTTTACGTGGGTATGAGTTTTACATTACTAGTAGAATCAATTTTGCCGATCACAGAGGCCGAGCAGTGTAAGGCATGAACTGTCTTCACCCGCTCGAACACTAGAATCGCGGATTTGAACCCCGCTTGAGGAATGTACGTCTGTGTGCATTTATTCTGTGCGGTACGGGCCCATCCCCAAGCCAAGGAGTCCTACAGACTATGTAAAAAGATTAAGAAACTGAAAAGCGGCCAAGGTCCAGCAAAGGGCTCTACAATCATTAGTAAATTACAGTAGAAGCTTCTGTAACAAATACAAAGACGCATACCGCGTACTTTTTTTCCCTTGGCACTACAGCCCCAGTGGGCCTAGGCCTACCTCCATGAACTTCTCCGTTCACTTCGGTTTTTCTAGATCTAACACATTCGGTAGGACTCCTTGGGCGGGTGATCACCTCGTCGCAAGGCCTCTACCTGTACACTAACACAGAAAAACGCACACACACAAACTAAACATCCATGCCCCGAGTGGGATTCGAACCCACGATCCCGGTTTCCAAGCGAGCGAAGACAGTACATGCCTTAGACCGCTCGGCTACCGTGACCGGCGCATACCGCGTATACCTCACTTTCTTTTCTCTCTCTGGCCGTGACAGCGTACTGTAATGAATTGGTAACCGACGTTTCGGTTCTGGAAACACAATGATGTCGCTCCCGACACCAAAGACCGGTAAATTTTATAAGAATCCACGTTCTCAATTCGGACGCTACAGAGAACACTATCTTATGGTATATGACGCTATGTTGTCTGGTGCATCTTAAATGAAGTTTCGGCGTAACGTGCTGCCTCCATCTTCAATGTAGAGCAGTGGAAATTCTGTCAGATTTTACCAAAGTAAACTTACTGTTAACTCCGAAGATGGTGATAGAAAGTTCATTCGAAACGTCAAAAAAAATGTACCAGACTATACAGCGTCATATCCCAGAATAAGAGCACCAGAAGCAAAGAGACCACATAGGAGACGTACTCATATGAGAGGATAATATTAAAATGAATCTAAAGGAAGTATTCTATGAGAGTGTGAGCCAATTAATGAGGATCAGATTGAGTTAAAGTGGCGTGCTGACGTGAACACGACAATGAGACATGTTTCCATACAAAAGGAGGGGTCTATTTTTATTCATATGTCAATAGAGATTTCGTCATAGGTGCAAGTTTCAAAACGGTACAAAAGTAAGTGAATGCAAACAATTGAAGGGGCAGGCAATTCCCTCGGAAACGCGTACTGGCATTTATAAGAGCACAGTTAAAAAAAATAACTAACATCATCATGAAAAGTAATGTACCGGGTATATCACTCAATCAACTAATTAATTTTTAATCTGCAGTTTTCCATTCTACAGGTACACATTAAGGGCTGCCGACTGTTTATAAATCAAATTAAATGCAAGCTCTAAACTCATTCGAAGACGAGATACTAAAATACAGGGTGTCTACAAAAGGTCTGACACATTTTGATCTTTAATAATTCGGAAAATAACGAAGATAGAATTGAACTGGTTACATTGTTGGACTAAGAAATTCAAACAGTTTTGTGTCTATTGTTAATAAAGTTGTACATATGCTCCATTTGTTGCACGTAAAATATCAAGACGATATTCGATTCCTTGCCAGGTTCGGGCAAGCATACCGACATTCACAGTGGTTACTGTGTCTCTTACTCTGGTTTTTAATTGATCGATGTCTCTCACCTGCGTCTTATAAACAATGTTCTTGACATATCCCCAGAGGAAGAAGTCCAGTGGTGTTACGTTAGGTGAGCTTGGGGGCCAAGAAATTGGACCACCGCGTCCAATCCATCCTTCTGGAAAATGTTTGTCCAAAGCATCACGAACTATGGTGCTCCAATGAGGTGACTCACCGTCTTGTTGGAAAATGATTTCGGGCTGAAGCGCTTCAATTTGCGGGAATACAAAATTCTGCAACGTGTCTAGGTAAATGACTGATGTGACTGTCTTTTCCGCGAAAAAGAAAGGCCCAATGACTCGATCATGCATAAACACACCACACATCCACTTTTGGGGAGTCTCTTGTCATTTCATGGTATTCATGAGGGCTCTCTGATCCCCAAATGCGTACGTTTGGCGATTGACTGTCCCAGAAATGTAGAAGCACGCTTCATCACAGAACAATATGGTTGTAATAAATCTTTCATGATCCTCTATTCTTCGTGACATATCTGTTGCGAAATCCGTTCTCGTACTCTTACCAGAGCAAGAGAGGCAAGAGCCACTGTGGATGTCGGTATGCTTGCCCGAACCTGGCAACAAATCGAATATCTTCTTGATATTTTACGTGCAACAAATGGAGCTCATGTACAACTTTATTAACAATAGACACAATTTTTTTTAGTTTCTCAATCCAACAATGTAACCAGTTTATTTCTATCTTCGTTATTTTCCTAATTATTAAAGATAAAAATCTGTCAGACTTTTGTAGACATTCTGTATAAGCAATCGCCGGTATAAATTATTTTAAACAAATAATTGTTTTGTATAAAATTAATTTTATTGTCCCTAAGTGGCAATGCAATATGCTTCAGTTCTTTCAACCCGTAAAGCCAAGAAAATTAGGATCGGTTGAGTAAAATAATTGAGGTCACTCAACTATAAATTTCCTGAACTGTAAGTTTGTAATGGCAGGTTCGCAATGAACATTGTTTGTGTTCAACAGTGAGAAATGGAAGTGAGTTTA